AGGACGACAAGAAAGGAGACCGTGGTCGATCGGCCAGTCGTCGCCCCCGTCGAAATGAGAAGCCGCGCAAGGAGAAGCAGGCGTCGAAGAAGACGTCGTCGACGAAGGACGTCGACAGCTCCAGCGGCAAGAGCCGAGACGACGGGGAGGCGTCGTGCTCGATGGTTGGCGTGGTGGAGCCGACAGTCTCGCTAGCACCGGAGGCTGGCGAGGACTTCCAGGCGGTGGCAGCAGCTGTGCAGGCCAACCCGATGGCGGTGCTGCTCGACAGCGGGTGCTCCCACCACCTGATGGGGACGAAATCGGTCTTCGTCGACATGGGGCCGAGCGACGGAGTGAAGCACGTGCGTGGGTTCAACGGGGCCTTGCAGTCTGTCGAGGGTCGTGGAACCGTCGCTCTGCAAGGGGAGGCCGGGAAGCGGGTCCTCATCCTCGACGTGCTCTACGTTCCGGGTGTTCAGGCGAACCTGTTGTCTGCTGGCCAGCTGAAGGAGAGCGGCGTGCTACTGCAGGGCGATGGCGATGAGATGCTGCTCGTCGCCGCGACCGGAGAGGTGCTCGGTCGAGCACGCTACACCGGACGAGTCCTCTGCACCGACCTTCGCCCCTGCTCAACGCAGTCGCAGTCGACCGAGGTGGTGGCTCTGCGGACGATCGTCTCGGGGACGAAGACGACCCCCGACAGGATGCATGCGCGGCTTGCCCACGTCAGCGTCGACACGATCAAGAGCTCGGCGAAGCACGATGTTGCTACTGGGCTCGACATCACGTCGTCAACCGGAGCAGACCCGCCGTGTGTCTCGTGCGTTGGAGGAAAACTGGCGCGGCACACCTTCCCCGCCAAGGGCTCGGATGCAGCGGAGGCGCTGGCTGTCGTGCACATTGACTTGTGCGGGCCATTTCGGGTGGCTGCCAAGGATGGCAGCTTGTACTTCCTGCTGCTGAAGGATCGCCATACTCGATTTGTATGGGCAATGCCGGTCGCTAAGAAGAGCGACGTGCTGCGGGAATTCGAGCGGTGGCTGGTGCTGGTGGAACGGCAGACGAAGAAGTCGGTGCTGTCGCTTCGCTCCGATCGAGGAGGGGAGTTCCTCGGGAAGGCGTTCACCGACTTCGTCGACGAGAAGGGCATCGTCCACGACCTGACGTGCCCCTACACTCCGCAGCAGAATGGCATGGCTGAGCGGGAGATGCGCACGGTCGTCGAGTCCGTGCGGACGATGTTGCTGCACATGGGCGTGCAGCACCATTGGTGGCACCTGGCTCTACGACAAGCTGTCTGGGTGCGCAACTGCTTGGAGCGGTCGACGACGCCGCCGGGGACGACTCCGTACCAGCTGCTAACCGGGCAAAAGCCCGACCTTACGCTGGCGCGGGTGTGGGGATGCATGGTGCAGTTCATGGTTCCCGAGCAGCAGCGTGGTGGGAAGCTGGCGCCGAAGGCTCGCTGGGGACTTCACCTGGGTGTGTCGCCAGAGAGCAAGGGCTGGGAAGTGCTCGACCTGACCGACAACAAGGTGGTCACGTCGGTCGAGGTGATCTTCTACGAGACGCTGTCGCTGGAGGTGTGGAAGGCGAAGTATGGGCCGGCGTCGCAGCGGACGCAGGCGCACCCGCCAACGGATACATCGACAGCGACGGTTCCGTTGCTCGCCGAAGTCGACGGACCCGGTGATGAGGAGGTTGTGGAGGTTCTTCCCCTTTCCCCTGCTCCTGCTCCTCCGTTCCCCGTCGCAACTTGGCCTGTGTCGACCACCGACGATGAGGGGAGCCTTAAGGCGTCGCCTGTGGCGCCGGCCCGTGGCATCGCCGGCGGTCGACAAGGCGCCAAGCTCGTCGACCAGGATGGGAAGCCGTCGACGACAGGGGAGCACCAGACAGGGGAGACGGTCGAACAGGATGCAAAAGCAGAGGTGCACTCGACAGGGCAGCCGGAGCGGTCGACAGGAGAGCTGTCGAAGGCAGCAGCAGACGAACAGCCGGTCGGAGGGTCAAAGCAGCTGGTCGACGACGTTCCCGTCGACGAGAAAGGGACGCAGTCGGCGGGTGAGGAGTCCACCGACAGCGACGTGATAGAAGTGCCGATCACGAAGCCTGAGTTGCGACGCTCAGGTCGAGCTCGACGGCCGCCGGAGCGGTTGAGCTTCCACGCCTGCCTACCGCCAGCTGCCTTCACCACGGTGTACGACGAGGTCGACAACGACCTGCTGTACGACGATGCCGAGGAGGATGAAGACCTGCCGGAGCTCGACCCCGACGTGCATGCCGACCCCGAACACCGTTGGGACATCGCCACGATGACGGTGAAGGAGGCGCTATCGAGCTGGAAGGGCGAGGCGGTGAAGGCTGCAATGGAAGAAGAAATCCGTAGCCTCATCGCTATGGGGACTTGGCAGCTGGTCGAACGCCCACGCGGGGTGAACATTATGAAGAACCGATGGGTGCTGACGACCAAGTACCGCATCGACGACACCGTCGAGCGCGAGAAGGCGAGGCTGGTCGTAAAGGGCTTCACGCAGGTGTACGGCGCCGACTACGACGAGACATACTCACCGGTGAGCAGCTACGTCACGCTGAGGATCTTCCTCAGCATCGTCGCCGTCCTCGACCTCAACCTGATGCAGCTCGACATGAAGAACGCTTTCCTGCAGAGCAAGCTCGACAGGGTGCTCTACATGTACCAGCCGGACTACTTCAACGACGGGACCGGCCGGGTGTGTAAGCTGCTGAAAAGCCTCTACGGGTTGAAGCAGTCGCCGCTGCTATGGTACAGGGCTCTCGACGGTGTGCTGCTGGGCGCTGGCTGGAAGAAGAGCCAGGTCGACGAGGCGCTCTACTTCAAGACCGGCGACGACGGTGTGACCTGCTGGGTGTTGGTCTACGTCGACGACCTGCTCGCCGCCAGCAGCAGCACCGCGATGCTGAAGGAGCTGAAGGAGCTGCTGGAGGCCGCCTTCGAGCTGCGTGAGATCTCGCCAGTGGAGAAGTACCTTGGGCTGGAGATCGTGCGCGACAGGCCGGCCAGGAAGTTGTGGCTGCACCAGCAGGGCTACGCCGACAAGCTGCGCAGGCGCTTCGTCGACGAGGAGCAGGGCGGTCGAGTCCCGAAGACGCCGGTTTCGGTCGACGCCTACGCTCAGCTGACGTTCGACGACGAGGAGGCTGAGGAGCGCGAAGAGGAAGAGTACCGGCAGAAGGTCGGCTCGCTACAGTTCGCGGCGACGACGACGAGGCCGGACATTGCGTTCGCCTGCAGCAAGTTGGGGAGCGGCCTCACGGTGAGGAGCGACTAGCATTGGCGTGAGGTCGACCGTTGCCTCGCCTTCCTCGCCGACACCCGCGACACCGCCCTGGAGTTCGGCGGTGGACCAGAATCGTTGGAGCTGATCGGCTACGTCGATGCCGACGACGCGGGCGACAAGCAGAACCGGACGAGCACGGGAGGCTACGTGTTCGTCTACGGAGGGGCCGCCGTCTCTTGGTCGAGCTCGCGCATCAAGTGCGCGACATTATCATCGACCGAGTCGGAGTACGTGGCGGCCACGGATGCCGGCAAGGAGGGGCGTCGACTTCGCTTCCTCCTTGCGGAATTCAAGCTGCTCGACGCTGGGAAGCCGACCATCCTTCGCGTCGACAACAAGTCGGCAATCACTGTCGCTGAGGGCTTGGGGCTGACGGGCAACCTCAAGCACATGGAGCGACGCTACGCGTGGCTGCAGCACATGGTGAGGCGCGGGAAATTTGTGCTGAACTACATCCCGACCACCGAGCAGCCTGCGGATTTCCTGACGAAGGCGCTGCATTTTCCGGCTTTCAACCGGTGCTCTGTCGCCATCGGCCAAGTTCGTCTGGTCGACGTCGGCGACGGCGACGACGAGGTGCAGCAGTAGGTGCCGTGCCCTTCTGCACGGCTGGTGCGGTGACGGCGTGCCGTGTGTGGGGTGCACGCCGAGGACGAGTTCTCTCCGTGGAGTACTGCCGTGAGGGCTGGAGGCCCAAGCGTGAGCGCGGCAGGGGAGTGTTAACGGGAATGGAGTGTTGGCCCCGCCCTCGCTTGGGCAACGCCGACAACTTGGTCGGATGTACGGGAGTAGCAGCCGACCGCTCACAGTGGGATAGCTGCTCGACAGGTTACGTCGAGCTGCAGTGGACCGCTGTGGTGTTGCTGTCGACCAGGATGCTTGACAGCTGCATTTGACTGGCCTGGGCGACGGGTGAGCCGTCCGGGAGGTCGACGAAGCAGTCCGTCGACCTACAGTTCGACCGGGAGGACAACGGAGCGTCCCGTCGAACTGCAGCTCGACCGGGAGGACAACGGAGCATCCCGTCGAACTGCAGTTCGACCGGGAGGTCGACGGAGCAGTTGTGGTCGACGGAAGGGGTCCGTCGACCAAGGGGTAGCTTGACGGGAGGTGTGGTCGACCAGGAGCGCCCGGTGGTCGACCAGAGGGACCCAGTGGTCGACGGGAGGCACCTGGGAGTCGACCAGAGCACCAGGGGTCGACCAGGTCGACCGGGTAACCTGCTCGACGAGTTCTGCGGAGGCACGCGAACGTCGTCGAGATTGCGATGGCGCAGGCGACTTCGGGCTGGTATCCCGAAGTCGATGTGGCTCGTCAGGCGCAGACAACAGCCGACGGATGCCCAACGAGGCAAGTCGGGCCAATCGTCTGCGCACACCTGCGAGCGCGCGCACTGCTGTGTTCTACGGGGCACGCCGTCGACCTGCTTTGTTGGCAGGTCGCCCTTCTGCAATGCTGGCGCGGCTCCTCTACGCAATGCTGGCAGGCGGTCGACCGAGCTGCGTTGGCAGTCGACCAGGCTAGCTGCAGGATTGCTAGGTGCCTGATGTAGTCATTGTTGTCATTGCTTCTTGTATCATTCTGGAATTCCAACTTTGCTAGTGGAAACTCTTGCCAAATTCTTCCATGAATGTGCAAACACTAAGGAACTAAGCAAAGCTAAGATCACCTCTAGTAGTTCGTGCCAACCCCTGTAGCCTAGCTCACTACCATTGTAGAGTTTATCTCCGCAATGGCAGCCAGGTGAACCTTGGAATGATCGTGAGACTTGCACGCGTTCTTCTGGAAGTCGCGACCACCTGCACCACCTCGACCAAACGGGGACTTAGTATGTGGTGCGTGCGTTTTGCAGACCTTGCACTTCATGCCATACTGCATAAGCTTAGGGTCGAACTCGAGCGTCAGCCACGGGTATTGCAGCTTCCACACTGGGTTGAAGTGCCGCGCCATAGCCTGCTCTGACGCAGGAATCTTGAATGCCTTCCTCTTCTCCTCGTCCATTTCCGCCAGCCAATCGTTGTCCGCGAAAGGCTCCGGTCGGGGAGGCAAAGGCGTGCGCATACGTTTCTTCGCAGGCCGGGTTGGTGCAGTAGTCCCGCCGAAGCTGATCACCGATTGGCAGAAGCGTGCTGGACGAAGCGGGATTCCCGACTGTGCTGCCGCGCGCTCTAGCCGGGATAACTGGGAATCGGTGATGGCCACGTTGATGTCAATGTCAAGGTACCCGCGCTTTCCTTCATCTTCTTCCTCCTTGCCTTCTTCTTCCTTATCCTCGCCCTCGGAATGTTCCTCGTCGCTTTCGGTTTCTTCCTCCTCGCCTTCGTATTCTTCCTCCTCTCCTTTGTCATCAAACTCCTGGTCAGCGTCATTAGCGACGCTGTCATCCAAGCTCACCGTGCCAACAGAGCCACAAATACCGGCTAGAGCATCGAAGGGGGAAAAATCGAACTCCCTATCTGCCTCCATCGCTGGCGTTACACCCAGCCTGCCGAGCTAAGGCGTGCGGGAAACTGAGTTGAGCTGCAGTGAAGAGAGGGGTGGCAGGGGTAGAACCATTATGGGGAGGTGATTGAGGGGAGGCGGATGGAACGTTGACATCGCGCAAGCGTGTGATGGCACGACACGAATCACACGTTACAACAACTACCACTCCACTCAAACCCTCCTGTGGTGGACGTGGTAGTGGAATGGAGGGAAGGTGGCTGGGCTCGAGACGAGACGGGATGCATGAAAGTGGAGCAATGGAGAAGCGTGGTTGGGGGGAAAGAGTGCAATTGGTCAGCCAGCCGATAACATGTGACTTGGCGGCAGACAGGGATGGGTTCGGATCGGAGGAGGGATGGAATGGTGGTAAGGGGAAAACCGGAAAAGGGGGGGAAGGGGGGGAGGGGGGGTCTGGAAGGGCCGTGGAAGTTTCCGGGTAAGGCCGGAAAAATTCCCTTGGAATCAGGGAAGCCCTCCAAGAGGACCCTGTAAGATTCCGGGGAAGGCCCAGCCCACGCCCGTTACCATTCCGGGCTGTACAGAAACTCAACCCTGAGAATCTGGACTTTGGGGCAAAGTCAGACCTTAATGTTCAGGGCATTAAGGCCAAATGCCCTTGAAACGACAGCCCTGCTCCGGAGCAAACTTAGCTCCGCGGAGCAACTCCGCTTGCTCCAGCATTTTGGGAGAGTAAGCCTCGCGTATTTGGAGTAAGGCCTGGTAGGGTGGGAAAAAAAAAAAACCGCATAATTGTCTTTTTTTTTTTCCAGCGCTAACCTGCCCAAAGACCTTCAAATCTTCCTATTTGTGTATTTTTGTGGCCCACATACCCCTTTGTGAGAATCTATTTTCTTGGTGACGAGAGGGGCAGTATGGGCAGTACGCAACAGAATTTTGAACGAGATCCGCCCACAACCCTCGCAACTTCCTTACGCGGAGTTTCGAGGGCGTGCAGATCGCCCCTCGGAGTTGGGAAACTTACAGGAGATGGGAAGCACCCACCGATACGGGCCCAAACGTGTGGCTCGGTGTACAATTGATGCCTGTTTGAGCCCCTCCCGGTTGCCTTGTGAAGGGGGCATATAAGCTGTAACGAGCACTTCGCATAAGTTTCGTCAAGTCGCAGCTAGCTAAAAAGGATTCTCAGGTGCTTATAAACAAGATTTGTTACCTTATTTGACTTCAGTCTCTTCTGCTTGACCTCGGTCTATTCCTTACTATTGGTTGATAACAACGCGACGCGCTTATAACGTGGGAGCAGCAGGCGGGGGAAACAACCTCGGGTGCAGCGTTTCCATCCGACGCAAGGCAAATCCGCGTGCACTTCTGTTTGAGTGCCAACAACACGGAAGTTCACTCGTCGGGGCTACCAAACAGGGCCAAAGAGTTGGTCAACAGCAGTTCAGAGCCACTCAACTTTCCGATAATGCACCATTGCAATGCAATTTTCCTGAATTTTCAGTGAGTGACTCCTGAATTTTCTCCTTCTGTCCTTCTTCCGTGGCTGCCGAACTGGGCCTAGGTGATGTTGCGACTGCAGGATGTAGTGCTGAACTTGCGGCTAGAATCTGCCACATCATCGCAACTCGATCCCAGTCATCACTACCTCAAAATTTCGACCAATGATGATAAGAGCGGAGGTGACACAGCACAGCTGAAGTCTATAGGTGTTACGAGTGCAATTGAGTGAACGAACGAGAATTGCACTATCAAAGCAAGAGTACCATGAAGAAGGCATGAGCGAAAAATATATAGCGAAACTACAGTGGTAACGGTAATTGACTATGGTTGTCGCGCGACGGGCCTGGGACTGAGGTTGGGGAAAAGTGTCGAAGCGGAGGCCCGGAGCGCGGGTTACCCGCCGAGCCGTGAGGTCGGGGTGCGACGTGCGAAGGTGACGGGCGGATTGTCGATGCGAGGATCGCGAGTGGTAACGGTGCTGACTGTGGTGCTACAGTGATGTACGCGTTGAGCAGGGACGGGAAGTAAGGAAAAAGAGATTTTTCTTTCACTACCCCCCCCCCCTTAAGGAGGTCCTCCTTACGAAAGTGCGTGTACATCCCTGAAATTCCGGCTGCACAGATACTCAGTGAGGACGGGGTGGTTTTCGATTCTGTCCAGGGAACCCAATTGTCTTCGGTGGGTGTACGGTCCTTCCGGCGGAGTAAGAACTCGATCCTTCGGGCTCCTCGAGGGTTGCGAACTCTGTGACTCAGGATTTTCTCGGGGGTGATGATTGGTTCAGTCGGTGGTCGTGTCATGCTGGCTGGGCGATTGCATGTGTGAGAGTTTAAGGAACTGGAAATGGAATGACTATGAGCAAAGTGGGTACAAATAGGAAACCCTAATTGGGTTGTACCCCTTATGGGATACCCCACTACAGCCTACACAAACATGTAAGCTATATGTTCTGACACACCCCCATAGGCAAAGTGGGGGAGAACAAGGGGTCACAAGACCAGTCAAGCAAAGCAAAGCAAGCTCGGGGTGGATCACAAAGTCACCACACAGTCCGAGCACAAGAGCAAGGCCAAAGGCCAGTTCACATGCAAGAGTACAGACATATATATAAAGCAAGACAAGCAAGAGCAGGTATATATATGTCACAGTACAAGTAAAGTCAAGAAGAGAGCAAGTGAGGTAAGACAGGCACAAGACCCAGCTGGGTACAAAAGCGCTGATGGTCACAAGGCGCAAGTGCCTTGGTGAACACATCAGCAGTGTTGGCCTCTGAGGCCACGTACGCAAGTCGCAACTGACCACGCTGCTGCAGCTCACGAGCAAGGAAGTAGCGGAGAGCAATGTGCTTCGTTCTGTGCTCCAAGCGCTGCTCTCGACACAAGGCCAGCATGGCCTTGTTGTCTACGTACAGCACTGGAGGAGAACGAGGCGGCTCTCCAAGGTCAGTCAGCAGGTAGGTGAGCCAGCGAAGCTCCTGTGCAGCCATGGCCCCGGCGTAGATCTCAGCCTCACAACTGGAGCCGAGAACCGAAGACGAGCGAGTAGACCGCCACGAGACAGAGCCGGAACCAAGGCTGAAGGTGTAACCCTGAGACGACCGCTGCGTAGCCTGGTCGTCAGCCCAAGAAGCGTCCGCGTGGCCTGTAAGGACCACTGGACTCCGCCCTCCAAGCACTAGCCCCATGCCCGACGTACTGCAAAGGTAGCGCAATACCCTCTTTGCTGCAGCCATGTGCTTTGGTCGGTGTCTACCAGGAGCAACATAGCGTGCAAGAATGCTCAGAGGGTATGCAAGGTCAGGTCGTGTGCAGGTCATCAGGTACATGAGGCAGCCAACAAGCTCTGCATACGGACCACTCGACTCTACGGACTCATCCGAAGGCAGAGCTGAGAGTGAGTGGCGAGTAGGCAGAGGAGTGGCCTGAGGCGAGGAGTACGTGAAGCCGAAGCGCTGAAGGACCTGCTGCACCATGTGTGACTGAGTCAAGGTAATGGTGCGGCGTGCTCTGTCCCGAGTGATCTGCAAGCCAAGGTAGCTGCGCAGTTCACCCAGGTCTGTGCACGTGTGTCTCTTCAGCAGCTCGGACTTCACGTAGGCGAGTCCAGCAGTGTCCGCTGTGGCAAAGACCAAGTCGTCGACGTACACGAGGATGTAGAACGGCGGCAGAGAAGTGTCGGTGCGCAGAAACAGCGACGGGTCAGCAGTAGAAGGAGCAAACCCAAGAGCCGCAAGCGTAGTCCTCAGTGTGTCGTGCCACTCACGCGGTGCCTGGCGGAGACCGTAGACTGGCCGTCGGAGGCTCCACTGGGTGCCAGGAGGGAAATTCCCAGTGAAGCCAGGCGGACGGCGTAGCCAGATCTCCTCGTGCAGGCTACCCTGCAGGAACGCAGTGCTGAAGTCGAGAGAGTGAAGCTCGTAGTCGCGCTGAGCGGCTATGTGCAGCAGCACCCGAAGAGTAGTCATCTTCGGGGTGGGAGAGAAGGTCTGAAAGTAGTCCACTCCCTGCCGCTGACTTAAGCCACGAGCAACGTACCGCGCCTTGAAGACAGGTGGAGAGCCCGGCGGCCGCTTCACCCGGAAGATCCACATGCCACTGACGATGTTCGCCCCAGGAGGGGGAACCTCGTCAACGTAGGTGCCTGTGGACTTCCAGGAAGCCATCTCTGCATCCATAGCTGCCTGCCACTGAGAGGAGTAGGGACCCTCTACGGCCTCTGCGTAAGAACGCGGAGTCGGGATGTCTAGTGCATCCGGGTCTCCCTCAGGGGCAAGCAGTACAGACGCGAGATGAGGTGAAGCAGCCGCTAGACACTGTAACTCCTCCTGCCTGTCCTCTAGGACGTCCGTGCCAAGAGCACACTCACCCCCGACGGACGGAGGACAGACAGACGCAGACTCAGCAACAAGACTAGCAGCGTAGTCTAGACGACAGCGAGCAGCAAAGTCGACGAGCTCAGCGACAAGAGCAGACGCAGCAGTGGACTCAAAAGAGGGGTCAGTGACGACAGTAGCAAGGAGACGCGTGACAGTAGGACTGGCAGCACGAAGAGAGTCCGACTCAGGGTCGGCAAGCGCAGGAAGAGAGGACTCAGGAGGAGAAGGCAAAGGGGCACGCAGAGGAGTAGTGGACGGACGCAGAGACATCCGGTGCGTGCCAGGGACAGGTGGAGGACGCTGACGCGAACCGCGACCACTAGCGCGAGCAGCACGAACAGGCGACGCGGGACGAGACGCAGGCTTACGACGCTCAGCAAGACCTCCAGTAGGACCAGTGTAAGGAGAGGGAGCAGGCAGTGGAGAGGAAGGCTCTAGCAGGGACTGCGACTGGAGAGGCTGTGGACACTCTACTGGAGGAGAAAGACCAAGAACCTGCTGCAGAAGCGGAACGAAGTACGGCCGAGGTCGCGCGGCAGCTCCAGACGCAGCAGGGACAGCACCAGTACCAGCGTCACCCACTCCTCCAGCAGCAGGACCAACAGCAGTAGTCTCAGCACCAACACCCTCAGCAGCTCCAGCTCCA